TAGCTACTTTTCCTTTGTCCCCAGACCCAGGAATGAGTTTTCCTGATCCAGTAGGGGTGAACACAGGAAGGGACCAGAGAATTCTGACCTACAGGGACTTGTGATGGTTAATATTAAGTGTCAACCTGATTGAATTGAAGGATGCAAAGTATTGTTTCTGGGTATATCTGGGTGTTTCTAGGTGTTGCCAGAAAAGATTCACACTTGAGTCAGCAGACTGGGAAAGGCAGACCCAACCACAATGCGAGTGGACACCATCCCATCAGCTGCCAGTGCAACTAGAAAAAACCAGCAGAAGAAGGCCACAGAAGTAGACCTGCTGACTTTTCCAGACTTCATCTTTCTCCTATGCTGGATCCTTCCTGTCCTGGAAAATCAGATCCCAAGTTCTTTGGCTTTTGGAGTCTTGGACTTAGACCAGTGGTTTGCCTGGGGCTCTCGGGCCCTTGGCCATAGACTAAAGGCTACACTGTCAAACTTTCCTACTTTTGAGGTTTTGGAACTCTAACTGAGCCACTACTGTCTTCCTTGCTCCTCAACTTGCAGACGGCCCATCTGAGTCTTCACCCTGTGATCATGTGAGTCAGTTCTCCTTATATGAAAGTTCTCCTTTCATATATACATATATCCTGTTACTTCTGTCCCTCTAGAGAACCCTAATAAAAGATCCCATGACCCAAATGTCCCCAAGTCCACATTTTCATATTTCCTCCCTCTCTCTTCTTATGCTGGCACATCACTGTGTACGAAGAGAGAACTGGGCACATTTTACACAATAGGCCCGACATGATTTCCCCAAAGCCACAGAGACAGTCATCAGATTAGCACCTGGGTCCAGTATCCTGTTCCCCACCCCCGGAGCCCTTCATCTTTCTTACCTCTTTGTCTGAGAAATCCCACCCCCATGGGCAATTTCTTTATTTTATTTAACAAATACCTTAGAGTGCCTACGCAGGGCAGTGTTCTAAGAACTCCTACGTCCATTATCACATGTAATCCTCATGACACCTTCTAAGGGAGGTAATTCTACATTCCTGTTCCCAGATGAGCCAGCTGAGGCCCCGAGAGGTTTGATCATGTTCAAGGTCACAGAGCTGGGACAAGGTGGGGCCAGAATTCAGACACAAGCATCCTGGCTGCAGAGTTATCTCCTGCCCTGAACTGGAACCAAAGGGTGGGAACCTGTGAGGAGGAAGACCTCGAAAACGTGGTTTTCTTTCTGTGATATCCCAGGGTCATGGGTGACGTCAGTCCAAGAAGAAGGAATCCAGATCCCATCGCATAACACAGTACTTGGCCCTTGAGAATCCTTCTCCTTTTTTGGTCTGTTTTTCAGATTTTCTCCCTTCTCTGAAAGGGGGAGGATTAATGCTTTTCCCTCATATTTTTAAAAATAAGTACAAATACTTCAGTATTAAAGTACTTAAGCATCCTGGCTCTGCAAAGGCAAAGGGCTCTTGAGAGGTAAGTGAGTCATTCCTCATCACACGGTTTCTTCCAAACGCTCGGGTTTGCTGCCTTCAAATGGGTCCCTGGGCACCCACTCCAGGATGACAAGTTTCCTCTGGTTGCTTCTGCTCCTGAGGGGGTCCCTGCCTTTTATTTTCTTGTTTTACTTGGATGCCACTAACTCTTTAGCAGTGTGTGTGGGGTCGGGGGAGGGGGTGAGCGTAGGTTAAATGTATTTCTCCAGCAATCTGGAAGTTAGCTGAGGGTCAGGAAGGGAACATCATGTGTCAAAATGGCAAGTTAGCTAGATGGACCCAGGGACTCCTGCTTGCCTGGTACCTGAGACTCTTCAGCACTGCTCATGACGTTGTGGCACCAGGTGCCAGCAAGGCCACAACCCACCAGCACTCCAGGTGTGGCCATATAGCCTGAGCCAGATGCAGGTCGGACTCCAGCTCTACCCCTTGGGATGGCCCTGTTTCTCAGCCTGGCTGTGCTAATTCTCCCACCCCTGAAATGAGTTAAAATAAAACCAAGGTACAGAGCTGCAATTAGGATAAAATCAGGTCACACATGTGAAGGGACTTCTTTACATGCAAGGGACCAAGCTCCTAGCTTACCACGATTATAATACTTACATGGAGGAAAAATGGGCACTAAAAAGTGATAACCCATGCCAAAAATATGAATGAATTTCATCAGTGTGTAATAAAATTACACCTTGATTGACCAGATTACAGCGAGTGCCAACCCCCCACTGTTCAATGTGAAGGAGACCGGGTGCCACCCACCACCCCACCCTCCCTAAGCTGGAGTGGCAGGGGCTGCAGGTGAGCAGTGGCAGCTGCACAGACATATTGCCAGGCCTGGCTACTGCACCCAGGTTAGCACTGGCCCCTCCTCTCGACTCCGGCCCAGGATGCACAGCCAACAGAGAACAAATCAATGTCCCTGTAAAGCCCTGGCCACCTCTCCAAATAAAGCAAGGATGCTCCACCACACCCTCTGTCCCAGTAGCCTCTTGGTTTCTCTCCCCATAGCTCCCCATCCTGCCCTTGAATGGGGGCATATAAGGAAAGAATAAACCAAGCGTTTTCTGGTTCCATTTGTCTGTGCATGGAAATTTCAGAGTGCTACACTAACTCCCATAGCCACTGGTCACATTCTCTTGCCACCAACTTTGCCCCATGTACATGCAAGGTGCTAGCAAGACCGTGAGGAGCAGGAGCGAATGCAGTGCACTCTCTCCTGGGACTCTCATTCTGGTATGGGAGGCCAGCCATAGAAGGTATAAGACATATTCCAGCAGGAGAGCTGAAACTACACATTCATTTTGTACCTGAAAGGCCTGCAATAACCCCCGTGTCACATAATACGTATATAATAATAATAAATCTTTTTTTTTTTGAGACAGAGTTTTATTCTGTCGTCTAGGCTGGAGTGCAGTGGCATGATCTCAGCTCACTGCAACCTCTGTCTCCTGGGTTTAAGCAATTCTCCTGCCCAGCCTCCCAAGTAGCTGAGACTACAGGCACCCGCCACAACGCCTGGCTATTTTTTAATATTTTTAGTAGATACGGGGTTTCACCATGTTGGCCAGGCTGGTCTCGAACTCCTGGCCTCAGGTGATCTGTCCGCTTCGGCCTCCCAAAGTGTTGGGATGACAGGCATGAGCCGCCATACCGGGTCACACGAGCTAATCTTATGGCACCAACAAAGCAAAGATAGGAGCCTAATGCCATCAAAGTGGTGGCTTCTTTTCTATGTTAATAACATTTAATGTAAACAAATGTAAAGATTTTTTTAGTTGTTTTTTCATGATTGCCTAATTTGTTGATCTTTGGCTTAAGTGTTCCTGGCATTATGGTGAGGAAATCAACTCCTGCTGAGGTCAATAATTCATTCACTCATCTATCATTCTACAATTTTTTTTCAAGTTGAGCCTTATGAAATGACTGACTGTGCAAGTCAAAACAGGCAAACACTAACAACTTCATATGCTTCAGCAAACTGAGAACCAGGGCCAGGCACTGTGCTGAGTGCAGGGACTTCCAACCCAGCAGACAGCCCTCCTCTCATAGAGCTTAGATCCTAAAAGCGGAACAAAAAGTCACCAAGTAAACAAATAAAGGCAAACCAGCATTTTAAAGTGTGAAAAGAACGATGTCGAAAAGGAGACCAGGCAATGAGAAGGAATTGTGACCACCAGGAAGGGAGGCGTGGGCAGGCGGTCAGGGAAGTTCCCTGGGAGAAGACGACATAATGACATTTCAGCTGAGACCTGAATGATGGCACATGATCAGCCATGTGAATGCCTGTATAAAGTCAAGACAGCCAGGATAGAGAATCCTGGTCTGCAACCCCCAGTCTGGTCAGCCCAAGGCCACCAGTCACACTGGATCAGCAAAATGAGGTCAAAGTTTCCACACCCACCCATACTTTGACAAAGGAAACTAATTCAGGAGCCCTCAAAGGCTCGATCAGTGGGTTTTTTATGTTTGTTTTTTGTTTTTTCCCTTCAAACACACCAGGTCTCATTCTACAGCTAGCATAATAAGAACAGCTTCATTATTTCATTCACTAAATTATGCTATATTAAAATTTTAATTGGCGAACATAACATTGGTAAAACGAGTACATCCACATGCTGCTGTTGCCAGTGTAAACTGTCAAACCATTTTTTTGCAAAAGCAATATTGCAACACGAAGAAAAATCCATAAATCATATTCTTGGCCTCCCAACTCTACCCCCAGGGAATTTATCCTAAGGAAATAATCTGGTTCAATAGAATAAAATGCTCTCTCCAGAAGAACTCCATGAAGGTGCTAATTGTTACATACACAAAGGAAAGAAAAAACAAAACACCTGGAATTATCCAAATGACTGCAAATGGGGGGTTTTAACAAAATAGGATAATTCATTTGATGAGATAGCACACGATCATTAAGCATCACAACAAAGATGACAAAGTTTCAGAAAGAAATGGGATATCCAGCTTTTTGAGAGAAGCAGAAAACAATGTGCATATTTTAATGGAAAGCATGTAAACAATATCTCAAGGTGAATAAGAACAAGAAAATTGAAAAGAATTGAATCAAGGCCAGTGGGGTGAGGAATTATTTATTTCAAAAGTCCTTCCAAAATATTGTCATTGTACTGAGTTCTCATTTTTTAAAAAATTCCTCAGAAACAATAGTACGAGAACACTGCCATAGTGTGCCACCCAAATACAAGGACATTTGTTCATTCTAACTTTAAATACAAAATAAAGCCAAATTTGAAGATGCCTTCTGTGTTATATATTCCACGGTCTTTCACGTATGGCTCCTGTATATGAAACTCAACTTGGAATAGCAATGCAATGTTGCATGATTTTACAATAATTTCTCCTGTTTGGGGAGTTTGTGTTGGGGAGGGAGGCCAGAGTGACTAGAAATTAATCTCCTCTTTTACTGAATGTGGGGGAGGAACAGCAGATGAGAAAAGGGGCTTTAAGGCCCATTAGTGCCGGCCTTCCATGGCAGTAGAGGCGTAGGCTGGAGGCACTCACCTTTCACAATCAGCTCCGCGTAGTTGGACACACCAGAACCACCGTCAGAGCGGATCACACAGCGGTACTTGCTGACGCTCCGCTGGGCAGTGTCTGCCACACTGACCGTGGCTGAGAAGCGCCTGTGGTTGACCACGCGGGTGACCATCAGGGCCGTGTCCCTGCCATTCCATTGCTGTAGAACAGAGGAAGAGAGGGAGAGGAGGAATCATAGCATCTTAGACTTCCAGGCGACTCCCAGCACGGATGTCCACCCATCCTCAAACCCCAGGGGCTCAGGACTTTCAACTATAAGAAGGGATTTCCAGCCAGGCACAGTGGCTCATGCCCGTAATCCCAGTGCTTTGCAAGGGCTGAGGCAAGAGGATCATTTGAGGCCAGGGTGTGAGACCAGCCTGGGCAGCAAGCAAGACCCTGAATCTATGAGATATTTTAAAAAATAGCCAGGCATGGTGGCACTCACCTTCAGTCCCAGATACTCTGGAGGGTGAGGAGGGAGGATCTCCTGAGCCCACAAACCCAAGATTGCAGTGAGCCATGATGAAGCCACTACACTCCAACCTGGGTAACAGAGCAAGGCCCTGCCTCTTTTTTTTTTTTTTAAAAAAAAGGTGGGAGTTTTCATGGCTGATTCAATAATAAACTTTGCTAGTGAGCTGATTCGAGGACAGAGGCCTGGTGGTAAGAACAGAGGAAAAAGGCTCCTTCTAAACACCCTGGCTCAGCCTGCATTGGGGACTGGCATGCAGCCCCTTCACTTTCCTTCCTTTTTTCCTTTTTCCCTGAAGCAGAACCCATAGCATTCTCTCAGACAAACTTCAGCAGACTTAGTGAAAACCCAGCCCACATGGAAGAAAAAGAGCCCGGCTCCCAGGCCCTATGGCTGGTGCCCTGCTACCCCACCCCACAGGCTCTGAGCCCCACCTGCCCTAGGCTATCACCACAGGTAGGGAGGGGACGGTAGCTTTCCAACACCCGTCTTCCTCGGCACCTGCTCTTTCCTCTGCCTGGAGGGTCCAGTCTCCCTGAGGACACCCCGTTCCATAAAAACCCACGTTCAGCTCACAGCCATCGCTAGTCAGTTCTCACAACTGTCACACCATCTCTAGAAGCTTATCCTGCCCTTAGGTATGATACAAACTTTCCCCACACGTTTGCTTACAAGTGTTGCTCATTTTACACTGAAGGACTTTCCTCTGCTCATCTTTAGAAGCTTGTCTGAAAGCCTCCCAAGTTGGTAGACATTTCCAGAATCAAGGTGAACACACATGAGCTTTTGTCTTCAGCATCCTGAGTTTCAGGAGGGATACCCTGAGTTTGAACAAACCTCTTTCACAGCTGCAAGTTACGAGAACTGGTAACGCACATGCATGTCAATGCAGTTTGAGTGGATGTTTATTAACGTTATTAACTGGATGTTTTTCTAGCATGTGCCAGCCCCTGGGCTGGGTATTTTTGTATAAATCTTCATTGTATCTTCACAGCCTTGTTTGGGGTTTGTACAACTGCTGTTCTTCTCAGAAGAAAAATCCCAATGTCCAACAGTTTAGCTAAATGCGTAGAGTACATGAGCCCCTTATCCAGGTTTTCCAACTTCAAGTCAAGCACTCTTTTTACTAAGACCGTATTCTCAGCACCTGCTTTAATTTAAAAATGTTTTTCCCCAAAAAGTGAAATTGACTACTTTAATTATCTGGACTTAGGGAAACCTTATGACTCATGACTCTCATGCCCTGAGTCTCCCAGTCTCCCAAGATGCGATCTTCATAGTTTCCTGCACAAAGTAAACAGTTTCCCCATGTGCACATCCTACTTTCATCTATGTCATCTTCCCTCACCCTCTACAGTGACCTGTCAGGAGGAGGGCACAGGTGCAGGTAGAGCCACGCTGCTCAGCTCTATGGCAGCAAATGAGGGGAGACCAATACCAGGGGGAGGCAGTGATCATGAAGGCCAGAAACCCAGGGTAACCCAGGCCCCCATCAAAGGGCAGCTAGAAGAGACTTGCTACAGATTAGACAGGGAAATTGTAGGTAATATTTTGCTGCTGCTTTTTACTTTTCGACATTCTTCAGACTTTGTCTCAAACATGTATTTCCTTTACACTTGTACATAAAAAAATGAATGGTATTGTTCAAAAGCCATGGCAGAATGAGAGGTAACCATAACTGCCTCCCATGCCAGAAACTAACCGACATTTGGAATAGTTAGTACACATCAGAGCAACAAGCATGGGGCTGTAAGAGGAGAATCTGAAGCCAAGTGCCAGCTCTGCAGCTTCCAAGCTGTGCAGGCTTCAGCAGGCAATTTCACTTCTCTGAACTAGAAAGTTTCTATTTGCCTGCCCGAATAAAAACCAGTACAAGGTAATGGAAGGGGAGAAAAGTCACCAGGGCTGAAACTGCCAACCAGCTACCTCATGCCTTGAGGCATCTTTGCAGGAGCTGGCACAACTTGGACCCCACTATGAGAACGTATGAGACACCACATGTAATGTCCCCTCCCAAAGTAGTGCAGGGAGGAAGGAGGAAAAATTCTGGCAAACACCAGGAATGTATCCTGATTTGGAAAAGAGGTCACTAAATGAAAAGAAGGGCCTTGGAAGAAGGGGGGTCATCAAAAGGAGCCCATCTTCCCCACTGCTGAGCAACGCACTTCGGGGCCACCATGGTGGATAAGGATGAGTGAGTGGTGAGGCTTTGGGTCAATATTTTCTAACCTGAGTTATTTACAACATTATAAACATTTTCGTTTTTTCTTTATTAAGCTAACAACAGCTAAACACTATTTATGTGCTAAGTGTTTTATATGCTTTCTCATTTATTCCCCCATGAAAAATAAGGTAGGTGCACTTCTTATCGCTCTTATATATAAGAGGAAACTGAAGCTCAGGGAAGTGAAATTGCCTCCCCAAGGCTGCGCAGCTTGGAAGCTGGAGAGCTGGCATCTGGCTTCAGATCCTACTTTTACAACGCCATGCATGTTACTCCAGTGTGGACTAACCACTGCCCCATCACTCACCTCTTCAAGCACCTTCATTTCTCAGAGTGGGAGAGTATGAGCAGCAGGTATGACACCAGGATCCACCTATTTGCCACCAATTTATTAGCTAAGAACAATAAAAAAGGGTGGCGGATGTAGTAATGTTGCATAAGGGGGGGAGAGAAATAAGCAAAATGCACATGCCCAACCCAAGCTCATGAAACACAGAGCTTTGCCTTGGACGTCCATCTTCTGAACAGCCAAGAAATATGGGAGATTAAAAAAGAGAGACTGAGAATGATATCAACACATGGTCTCCACAGAACATGAGCTAAGAGATGAGGTGACAAGGACAGGTACTAAGAAAGAAGATACAACTCGGGGAGCCAAGGGAATAATTGAGGAAAACAAACAATGCCATTTGCAGATCTCAACATGGCATTAGAAGTTAAGAACAGGATCAACATTGCGGAAAACCAGCGACCTGGAGGACAGGCCTGGAAAAATAACCCAGATGGCAAAGAAAGCAAAGATAAAGGAAATCAGTGAGAGGCAAACTGATCAAGAAAATGAACAACAGACAACTAACTACCCTGTAAGTAACTGGAGCTTCCACAGAAGAGAGTGAAATGAATGGAATGAAATCCTATCCCAAGATACAGGAGGTCACTTTCCTGGACTAAACTAAGACCTGACTTTTCAGACTGAATGGCCCACCATCTATTTGATAAAATTTACAAAAACAAAAATAATTGTTTATAAAAATATTAAGAATAAAGAAATATATAGAAATCCAGCAGAAGAAAATAATGTACAAAAATACAAGCCCATCTGGTATAAAACTCCTCATATGCAATTGTTTCCAAATCCAAAGTGACCTCTCCTGGATGTGACTGGCCCACCAATGGTCACAGGTGAGCTCCCAGGAGATTCCTGTTACCTAGATGCCTGTAAGAAAACAGGGATGGAGCTAGAGAAAGACAGGATAGGGACTGCTAATAAAACTAATCACGGCAAATGCTTAGTTTGTGCGACCTTCGGTGGGTGATTTCATTTCTCTGAGCTTCAGTTTCCTCATCTACACAAAAGATTTGAAAATGGTGCCCACTATATAAAGTTATTATGAGGAATAAACGAGAAGGCATGCAAAACAGCACATGAAGCTGTATTCTACTGTTTGCAGAGCTCTAGTGTTAGCAGAGCTGTGAAATTAGCCATAAAAAGTGTGGTAGACAGGCTGACAGCCCCCCAAAGATGCCAATATCCTAGTCCCCAGAACCTGGGAATATGTGACCTTATATGGCAAAAGGGACTGTGAAGATGTGAATAGGTCAAGGAGCCTGAGATGGGGATGTCATTTTGGATTAGCCATCTGAGCCCAATGTCATCAAAAGAGTCCCTATATTCGAAAGAGGGAGGCAGGAGAACCAGAGGCAGAGAAGAAGCTGTGGGACAGGAGAGGTCAGAGTGATGCCATCACTGGCTTGAAGATGGAGGAAGGGGCCGGGAGCCAAGGAATGCAGGCAGCCTCTAGATACAGGGGAAGGTAAGGGAATGGATTCTCCACTAGATGCTCTAATAAGAATGCAGCCTGCCAAAAGCCTGCCAACACCCCCATGTTAGCCCAGTGAAATCCACTTCTGACTTATCTCCACAACTATAAATAAATAAATTTGTTTTGTTATAAGCTATTACACTTGTGGAATTTGTTACAGTAGCAATAAGAAACTTACATAAAGAGAAAAAGACTGGTTACATGCAAAACATTCATTTTTCACATTTAATTGAAATTTTATTTTCATGTCACCTCCAGAATTATTTACTTTTCTTCTTAATGATGTCAGATTCTAGCAGGGCCAGGGAAGATTAAGGGTGTCCATCTGAACGATTCACATTTTTCTGTTAGCTCCTGAACCAACAGGCTTTATCCTACTGAAAGATAGGAAATTGCAGGTTGTCTTATAAAATGTCTGGAAAATAGGCCTTTTGATAATCACACTTGTCATATTGGGAGCAGGCGACAGCAGGACAGGGACGAGCAGGAGGGCCTAGAGTCATGCTAGGAAATAGCGCTGGATGCACCACGGGCAAGAAGAAACAAAGGTCAAGTTCAGAGAGGTGAGCCCAGATGAGAAGGGCCTATGAATGTGACTGTTCAAGACAAGGCAGGGAAGGGCAGGCAGATGCGAGTCA